CATTGGTCAGGGGTAAATGGTTATTTTACCCTAAGAATAGATATCAGACTCTGATTAAGTGTTTTGTGGGGATTATAGCCGGAGGATTTCTGGAGCAGCAGCAGACAGAGATTTCCCGCACAGATTATCAGCAGCTACTCGTTCGAGGTGAGTTACATTCCAGTAGCGGTGGGTCTACGGCCACAATGTCGGCCCACCAGTAGGAGTTGTATGTTAGATGATTGTCTTTGTGATATCATCTGGATTTGCTACTACCTGATATGTTATATGCTGGCATGATATGTTATATGTGACAGTAGTAGGGTTCGGTTGTTAGGACCGAAGGGTAGGTCAGACACCCCAGATATGTCTGACAGTATGTGATGATATGTTTATATGCTAGCATGATATGTTATATGTGATAGTGGTAGTAGGGAAGGAATAGTCCTGAAGTTCGGTTGTTAGGACCGAAGGGTAGGTCAGACACCCCAGATATGTCTGACAGTATGTTTATGTTATGATATATGTGATAATAGCAGTAGGGGTGGAGTAGCCCCCGAGGTTCGGTTGTTAGGACCGAAGGGTAGGCCGGCACCCCAGAATGGCTTGACATGGGTAGGTCAGCACCCCAGAATGGCTTGACATGGGTAGTTCGGCACCCCAGAATGGTCGTACTGGGTAGGTCGGGCACCCCAGAATTTCCCGACAGTATGTCTATGATGTATTTGTATGGTATGTGGTATGATGGGGGAAATCACTAAGCTTTGTGCTTACAGTTTTAGTTTTGGTTTCAGGTGCCTCTTCGTCTAAGGGGAAGGAGCCGGCAGTATAGCAGCGCATCACACACACATGATTTCCGCATGGAGTTTTCTGGGATTGTACTCTCATTGATTTTCCTTTGACATTATGATTTTCAGATACATTGTTATATTCGTGTTTGCAAATGATATCGCATGGGAAATGTTTTGGTAAACTATGTTGAGAATTACTTAATTAAAAAAAATTGGCTTGAAAATTGGGATGTTACAAAATCAGTCTTCATAAATCAGGAATCGGGAAACAAATCTTGGACAGAGAGATTGATTATAGTTCATGTCTCATGTCTTTACAATATCTTGTAGAATGGAGGAATATTTGATCACTTATCTAAGGACACGTAACTGACTGGGTCAGAGTTCGACAACAGCTTTGAGAGCTACAATTTGCTAATCAGTTTTTGAAGTTATAATGGCAACTATAGTTATTAGACTTATCCAAGTGGGAGATTATTGGATTAGGTGTCTAAGCCCATAACTATAATTGGTATATACTTAAATTGATAGTAGCACAGTCTTTTTTGGTTGCCCTCAAAACTAGGAACTGGACAGGATGACTTTTGGAGAGAGAGGATGAATTTATTATTTGACTAATAAATTGAAATGAATGATTTATTAATGTATTATGAAAATAATATATATTAATTAGAAATCAATTATTTAATTAATATTTAATCAGAAATTAATTTGGAATTAATTTCAGGATTAAAGGAATTAACTAAAAGTGTAGGGGCTAAAGTGTAATTGTTCAATAGTTGAACAAAGGGTTTCAGAACCTTCCCCAAAGGTAGTGGACGGTTTTGGAGGGTATTTTTAGGGTTCTTAGAATATCCTTTAAAATAATTAAGGAGGTGGATAATTACCTAATTTGAAATATTACTATTATATTCAAATTAGGGTTATCTAGTGCATCCTATCTGGCACTATAAATAGACCCTTAAGTCATAGGAATTTCAGCCAAATAAAACCCTAGAAGGATAGCCGAAATTCTCAAGCATCCTCACCTCTATCCTCTCTCATCCTCTTGATAGTGTTGGTTGTGAATCATTAGAGGCACGACATTTGTGGTGCTTGCTCTCTAAGCTTCGACAACACAAGGGTTTATTGTTATTCATCAATAACAATTAAGGTATGTATTCTAACCCTAGTTACATGAATTTTGAAAATAGTACATGCTTCCTATGGTTTTCCATTGGATGTTCAAAATTTGTATGTTCAATTAGAGAAAACATAGATCCAAGAATATTAGGGTTGCATGCACACATAGGGATTGTTTGTTATGCTCAAAACCCATCAGAAATTTGGAAGATGGATGTCAGAACCGCCTTCCATAATAGAAAATTAGCTAAAGATGTTTAGATGAGTCAGCCAGAGGGTTTTGTAAACACAAAGTATCCAAATAGAGTGTACAAGCTTGAGAAATCCGTCTATGGATTGAAACAAGCATCTCACATCTGGAATCTTTGCTTCCCTGAGAAATTCAAAGAGTTTGGGTTCTCTAGGAGTGAATATGAGTCTTGTGTGTATATCAAGGCTAGTGGGAGTATAGTGACTTTTCTGGTATTGTATGTCGACGACATACTACTCATGGGAAATGGCATTCCAACTTTGCTAGAAGTTAAGTCTTGGCTTGGAAAGCGTTTTGCCATGAAAGACTTTGGAGAAGCTGCATGTATTCTCGGGATAAGAATCTTGAGAAATAGAAATAAGAGACTAATTGGACTTAGTCAACGTACACACTTGAATAAAGTACTAAATAGGTTTAGTATGGAAAATTCCAAAAAAGAAGAGTTACCTATCTAGAGCAATACCAAATTGAGTAAGACTCAAAGCCCTAGTACATATAAGTACCTTACGCTTCGGCTGTAGGGTAGATCATGTATGCTATCACATGTACTTGCCCTGATGTGTATTTTACCTTGAGCATGGTTAGTCGTTATCAGAGAAATCCAGGTAAAGCTCATTGGACATCAGTTAAAAACATTCTCAAATATCTACGGAGGACAAAGGACATGCTTGTACCACTATATAAAGGACCCTGGGGCCTTCATTTTTTGGCCACTTGATTCCCAAGAAGGGTTGGATGAAATCTTGCCTCCTCTCTCCTTTCTCCTCTCTCTATAGTTTTCCTTCTTACTAGTTGGGTGTGATTCCATGAGAGGCACGACGTTTGTGGTGTTTGCTTCCAAGAGATCTTCAAGAAGGAATCATTGTTATTTACTGCAATAACAATTAATGTATGTAATCCTAAATTCTAATTTATGATTTTAAAAAATTACTTAGGGTTTCTTATTTGATGTTCATAGTTATAGGTTCAATAGTGAAAACATAGATCCTTTTAGGTTACATGTGAACTTAAGGGTTTTAAGTTTATTTGTTGTACCTAAATCCCATTAACAACCTCTCGTGATACATATGTTGTACTAGCTAGAAGGAGTAGCAGTCCTATGTCGTCGAACACATTGTTTTGAAATACTCAAAGTACGATGTAGAAATTGTACGTCTCAAGCATCGAGTCTGGACCAGTTGGGAGTGGATGGAAGTTGACCGGTGGATCGATTCCATTCGGCACTCGATTTAAGCAATAACAATTTTGATCTTACTCGCTTTTTAGATTCTTTTCATGTCGCCTTAAGGTATTGCAATCCAGAACAACATAACATCAGGAAACCAAAATTTACAAGAAGAGCGAGCTACCTTAGACGAAGGAAGATTATCGGAAAAACCATTAAAAATCAAAATCACATAGATAGATAAATGATAGAGAGAAAAATGATGGTGGTGGTTCTATTGTCTTGACCTTAATTATGAGTTATGACAATAAATATCCTAGAGGAAGTTTCCCTATTCATGTTTTGCAATGTAGATATTACCACAACAACAGGAAACCCAGTTTTACAAGAACCAATGGAAAGCAAAAGCGCCTATAGAGGAACGTCAGAGACAATTGTACCCTTTTGACCTTGATTTACAATAGTGATCGTGGAGGAAGCGGCCATGTGGAACATGATATTTTCTTTCTGTTTTGGTGTAAAAAGATGGTGTGAAATGTACTTTTACCATATTTTATTAGATAAAATTATGAAGTACAAGATGTTGGTAAATAAATACTAAACTACAAGACTTTGGTAAATAAATTCTGTAACTACTACCTTCTTGTTAAAAACTTTGTGGTAGAATTCAAATGAACAGATCAAGGATATAAAATAAAAGATTATTTTAAAACCAAAAAAATTAATAAAAAGACCGAATAAGCTAAAATAGTAATTTCAGATCTGTTCCAAGACGAATAATGCAAAAAATAAAATCATAAAGACCAATCGTGTAGTGTTTATTATAGTTGTACTCAAGTAGCCTTGGTTTCACAACCAATGACAATAACGTCATTTTGTCTTAATTATATTTCTCCAACAAGCAGATTAGAGTTTTTGAATTTTGAAGATAGATACATGAAAGACAGAAAGTATAAGTGCAGAATGATCATTTAAATTGATTTTATAATTGGATATTTAAATTGATTTAATAATCGGACCTTTTAGATAGACGACAAATGAATGAAAAGTACAACACATAAAAGAAATGTACCACATCAAAGAGAACACATAAAAGTACAACACATACAAGAAATGTACCACATCAAAGAGAACCATTAATATAGAAACCCTTTTAACAATTTAGTCACATCTATTTTGATAAATAAAGATTTTTTTGTCAAATGTCATACTCTCATTCAATTTGTTAAATGTAATTTTGTGGTTATTTCAAATTAATTTTTTTCCACATGTCATTTTATGGGTTTTCTTATTTTATCAAATTCCACATAATATTTTAATGTACTAATAATTACAAAAAATATAGTAATAAATATATATCAATTTCATTAATGGACTTACCTTCTAATTTTCAAATTCTTAAATTAAAGTTCATTAGTTTTTTTTGTTTATTTATTTTAATTATTATTTGTTTAAATTTGAAAAATAAAAAAATCATTTCAATTTTAATAATTCATTATTTTTCTTATTTTCTTATAAATTCAAAGTTCTTGACCTTTATATTTAATTTTTTTTTTAAATTAACTCATGTAATACATGGGTCTCAAAACTAGTTTTCACCAATAAAAGACAACAAAAAAAACCTTCAAAACTCATATAAATTAAACTTAATTAAAACACAAAAACCATATCAAATCCCTACACAAACTAAAACCTAAGAAGTTGATTTAATCTCCCCCTCTTTGCTACAACATAACTTCGGTCGATACCCTTTTTCCAACATCTTCTCCACCTCCTCAAACTGCAACCCTTTCGTCTCCGGGACAAGAAAAAATATTGCCACAAGTCCCGCAGACGAAAAGGCTGCAAACAAAAGAAACGTTCCTGCAGACCCTAATGCTTCTGTCAGGGTCAGGAACGTTTCACTGACAATTAAATTTGAAACCCAATTTGAAACCGCCGCGATCCCTCCGCCGGTGCCTCGGTAACGTAAAGGGTATATCTCGGAATTTACAATCCAAGGCACAGTCCCCATACCTGGAGCATAGCATAGAATGTATAATCCGAGGACTAAAACTGTCAAAATGCCAAACTTGCTTGGGCAACCGTAAGTGTACCATGTACGGTGTTGTGCGCGACATGTGGCTCGTGTGACAGTGTCCGCAACCAAACATGCCCCTGCATTGTACTGTTCAATGTATGAGATAATTAGCGACACACTTTTGTTTAATTAACTAATAGGGTTAAATGCTAGAAATAACAACACCATACTATGAAATATATACCGAATTATATAAATGAAATCTGTCATCCCATGCGCAACAATCCACCGCTATAATTGGGTATAAATTTTAATGTATAATGTCCAAATAAGAAAAAAACCGAGAATACAATGATATAATTAGGTGGAATTTTAAAACTACATCTTAACAAGAAAAAAAAATTAAAGTACTGTGTTCCAATGTAAATGAGAGTAGGGTGTTTTAAGAAGAACATAAATAGAATGAGATCATCAGTAGTTTCATTTAATTAACTCATAGAGTAAATTGAAATAGCAATTTACATTCATTTAGCATCCTACTTTCAAATCTTCCTACTACAACATTGTACTTTGAAATTTTTTTTTTGGCTAATTATGGCAATGTCATGCAAATACAAATCAGTTTCCACTTTCCACTACTATAATTTGGTGGAATTTACAAGGTACGATGTCTTTATAAGAAAATGATTGAAAGTACAATAGTATAATTATACTTCAAGAAATCTACCTAATTATAACAGTGTCACTGATATACAAAGCAATCTTGACTGCTATAATTGGTAGATTTTTCAAAGTACAAAGTCGTAATAAGAAAAACTACAAACATTAAAAATGAAAGTAGGATGCTATAATAGACAAATATTGAAACTACGTTGCATATTCTTAATACAAAAGGTCAAAACTTACAATATTTTGTCCGTTGGCGCAAAAGGCACAATCAGAGGAAGCTCTCAAGCAAGTCATGCAGTTCCAAGACGCAGGACTCGATGCCATTTTGAAATCAAAACACGTGGAATTAACCCCAAAATGATTCGATTCAATCACACTAACAATCGGAGCATGAATTGAAGCTTGAAAGAACATAATCGATAAAACAACAAGGCAAACAATGATTCCAATCATTGAAATAATCATCAACCTCCTTCTCCCAAACCTATCAACAAACAACATACTAAAAACCGTGCCAATGGAATTGAGTCCCGTGGTAATGAGCGAAAGTGCTAAAGCTGTTCTATTGGAGGCGAATCCTGCAAGTTGGACAATCGTGGGACTGTAATACATTACGGTGTTGATTCCCACGAATTGTTGGGCCACTTGAACTGTGATTCCGGCGTATAATCCCCTTCGGACAATTTTATTACCAAATGCACTTTTTATCTTTGAAAAAGGCCCATCTCCTGTTGATTTTTCATCTTCTTTTTGGGTTTCGATGGATAATTGTAATGATTTTAGTTCTTGTTCTACTTCATTAGCTGGATAGATCTTTTCGAGGATTTCTGTTGCCTCTTTTATCCTATTCTGGTCAAAGATATGTTATGTTAATGTTTCTGCAAAAAAAAGTTATTTTTCCAACAACCTCAGAGCTGGCCCCCTGCCCATAAAGGAGACATGAACAAAGCCCGGTTTCATTCGATCCTAACTCTTTTTTTTTTTTTTTTTTTTTTTTTTAAATCTTGTTTAGGACCCACTCCTTTTTTTTTCATTTATGCAAAAGGGTTATTTTTCAAACTCAACCCAATTTCAGTTAGGTCTGTCAGGACCAGATAGACCAATCCAGTTCTCTTTCATATTTATAGGAGTAAGTTACAAATTTGGTCCAATTTTTGTCCATTTTTTGAAATCTTCCTAAATTTGTCCTTAAGTTTGCATTCTGTCATGGTTTTAGTTCCTCTGATAATGAAATGCAAGTGTTAAATTGGACCAAACATGCAATTTTGAGTAAAACATAGGGACCGAATCCGTAACAGCATGCAAACATAATTTCATAAACTGGACCAAACATGCAACTTTGAGTCAAACACAAGGACCAAAATAGTAATTCACTCTATTTTTAGTCTTTTTACCTGGCCATACAACCATCTCGGGGACTCAGGGAGAAAACACATCAAGATAAACTGCACCAAAGGTGGAACTCCAGCTATCCCAAGCATCCAACGCCAGTTTCCACGTGTCTAAAATAAAAAAATCATCATTACAAATATATATTTTTTTTTTGTCAAAAAGTTAAAAGATTGATTGTGTTAAAAGTGTACCTTAGCGAAAGCTAAATTGATGAGGTAGGATAAGAACTGTCCTCCAGTAAGGAGTAAACCGTTAGTGCTAACAAGCGCACCTCTGATTCTAGCAGGAGAAGCTTCAGAGATATATAATGGTGATGTCATGGAGACTATTCCAACACCCAAACCAACAAAAAGTCGACCCGTGATTATGACCCACGGGTTTGGAGCTAGAGCCATGACTATTGAACCAATCATGAATAATAAGTCAGCACACATTATTGACTTTTTTCTCCCGAATCTATCGTTCATCCATCCACCGAATGCTGCACCAATGATAGCTCCGGCTACAGCTGTGCTAACAATCGTTTCCTGAAAATTCAAACAGGGAATGTTGGATCTTTTGTGAGGAAACTTGTAATTAAAAAATGGGCTTAAATGTAAGAAATAACAACATACTTTTGTTGATTTGTTTATTATTGTATCCTACTTTCACTTCTGTTTTTTTTTTTTTTAAATAAAAACTGCACTTGGATTATAACAAATATCATCCAAATGCAACTCAATTTTCACAGTTAGTAAGAAAAAGAACTGAAAATAAAACGTTTTAATAAAAATAAAGGAAATAGGTTGCTATAATATACACAAAAAAAAATGAAAGTAAGTTTTTTTTTTTTTTTTTTTTTCATTTCCTCTAACAAAAACTAGTATATTTTAACTTTATCGAAGTCATAGGCAGTAAATTATGGTTTTTGAACAAATAATTGTGTAGAGTTTTCAAACCACATTTAATAAGAAAAGGAATTGGAAATAAAATGTTGTAGTAGAAAGAAATGAAAGTACATGTTACAACTTTATTAAAGTCAAAGGTAACAAATTTGGACTTGGAACAAAGAAGTAAGAACTGAGTTGGGATTCTTTGGGTTTTTCATCAAAATATAATTAAGGTTATATAACATGTTACTAAGTATGCATATATCAACTTTGAAATTGATAAATATTAATTTTAACATAAAAATGTCAATTAGGACAATGAATTTTATCAATTAGAAAGAAAGGATCTAATTTTTAGCTTACTTGCAACCACGTATGCCTTTCAACTTCTTGAAAATCATCTCGGATATATAGAGAGGCACCCGAAATTACCCCTGTTTTTTGAGTAAAATCATTAATGTAAACATAATTTTAATATTTTTTTAAAAAGAACAAGAAAATAATTTACCTGTATCATAACCAAATAAGAGCCCTCCAATTCCAGCAGAAAGAGCAAGCAGCATTATATAAGGTTTACCCCAAATGATCCTAAAACATTCTGAAAACTCGGTTTTATCTGGTTTTGTAACACCCCCTTCCATTTTCCAATTTCTTTTTGTATATTGACAATAAGTTATCAAAAACTAAAAACACAACCTGCAATGAATAAACAAAGGTAACCAATGCTCAAAATTTTGCTAAAATGTCAATAAAATTCTGTACGACATATCATCAAACACTTTTTATGCAAAATCGACCATGTTCAGCTTTCATGCAAACAACTCAGTGATCAATGAGATGGATCACAGATTATTCATCTGAACTTGTTTAAAATCAAACCACTAAGATACTAAGATTAAGGTCCAAATTGCGCCCTAATTTGTTTACTCAAACTGAAAGCAAACAAAGATCACAGTTTTTCTTCTGTCGAAGCATGCAAGACAAACAAAGAACATAATTTGAAAGAAAAAACATGTTTGAACAACCTTGACCTCAAGAAAAAGGAATTATTGGGTATTCAACTTTGATGCTTTCAAGAACCGATAACGAACGGAAATTCAATGCAAGAATTGAAATGAACGATACAAGTATTCTACCTTAATAAGGATATTATCTCTTTTCTTCCGCTTATCTGAATTTAAAAACTAAAAACCTCGTCTATTTAGGAAGAGTATTGGTGGAATAGAATGAGAATCATGGCATCGGATTTAGTGGAAGGATAGTAGGAACAGGATTCTAGTTGGTTGTTTTTGAGTTTCCTACTTTAAATGATCCTGTTACAACTTACAACTCTGACAGAATCCAACGTAAGTTTCAGTTACATCCTTTGACTTATATTTATTGTTCATTTCTGACTTCTTTTCACAATAACAGCCATTTATGTTAATTGAAAGCTAACATTTGTTTTATTAATTTTAGTGAACATATTAATTATAGATTGTAAAAGTTAATTTCATGTTTTGGTCATTTGCAACATTGGTTAGTGAATATCTCCATTAGAAAAAACAAAAAGAAATATAAAATTAGATAATTTAACTCGATTGTTTTTAAACATTTTAATCGAATTTAACCATAAAAAATAAGATTATGCATATAAGCTAGTTAATAATGTAGCTATCTAGATGGAACTTTTTAAACTATATGGTCTCATCAAATAGTACATAATAATAAACCTATCTAGATGGAGCTTATAAAGTTTGCTTTTAAACTATCTCAATGGCCTCATCAAATACTACATAACAATAAATAAAATAAAATAAAAAGTTTATACACGCCTACATAGCTATAATACTAATAAGGGTTGTTTTTGGCATAAATGATATGTTGAAGGGCGTGTATGTCACTTGGTTATATTAGAAGGTGCATGCATAATGTTTCCGTAAGATATATTAATTATTATAATAAAAATAATATTAAAGAGAAATTTCGTATTTTTTTTTTCATGTTATCCCCCATATCTACAATATGTGGTCATTTTTATTTTCGGAATATTATGTTTATATTTCTTTTACTTTTTAATATATCCTTCGCATTTGCTTTTTGTACCTTTTAGTTTCAACCTCCCACTCATTTTCCTTTTCATTTACTTTCACTATGTTATTCTTCTTTTCTCCAAAAGCAATCACTAACACTCACGATTCGATTCGTCTTGACTTAGTTTTTGCAAAAGTCCGAAAAGAAACAAAAGAATATCGGTTTTGGACGATTTTTGGGTTTAACATGATTGCTTTTTTTGGTTTTTATGATCATCTGTTTGTATTTGAATAAAGATATAAAACATTATAAGTATACATTTCATTATTGAAGTCAAATCTGATGAAGACATACGCATATATTTGTTATCACTAAATGTAATAGCAAAAAGACAGTTATAAAAGTCATATATAAGAAAACAAATAATTGGAACGCAGTGAACACTACAAGAAACTATGTCTTTAGCAACGACACAATTACCGGCAACACAAGCTTTTAGCGGCGACAAATAGTAGAGTCGCCGCTAAAAGTCTGTGTCGCCGGTAATTGTGTCCCCTCTAAAGGCTTTTCACCCGAATCTGCGTTATCCCCTTCTGATAGACCTCAGCCGTTCGATCGAGTATCTAATCCAGCGGTTGCGGCTCTTATCCGCTCAAAACCAATACCGGCGACATTTTGTCGCCGCTAAAAGTCGAAAAAGTCGCCGCTAATAGTGGTCTAAAAAACGACACGGTATCCTTCCCTCCAGATAGTCGCCGCTGTTAGCGTGTGTCACCGGTAAAGCCTACATAGTGGCCGCTAAAAGAGTCGCCGCTAAAGGCTATCACAGATAAAAAGAAAAAAACGGCCGCATTCTGCTCTTTTGCTTCCTGTGTTCCATCAAAACGTTGCTGCTCCTTCTTGCCCAATTTTCTACGATCGATTCCAATGATTCCAACAAGAAATCTCCCCACATTGTGAGATTAGGGATCAAATGTGTTTAGGGCTTCAATTAAACGGGTTAACTCACGATTTCTAGCTCAATCTCGGGAAAAAAAGGTAACTTGAAGTTCTTATATCTCTTTGTCTTTCTCTGTTAACTTTGATTTCTAGCTCCATTTGATGATTAATTGCAAATTAGTTTTCAATTTCAGTGTTTTTGGTAATTTTGTCTTTGGGTTTACTGTACGGGTGAGGGTATTTTCCAGTGAAGACCAATTTTTCCGGCGACATTCGTTGATTTCCGCCACTACAGGTTCTATTTACTCAATTTATTGTGAAATTTGAGTTTAATTGCAAGCTATGTGTAGTTGTATCAATTATGTGAAAATTGCCATATGTATCTATATTTGCTATTTGTATGAATCTATGTAAATTTGGTGTATATACGTCAATATATGTGTGTTTGATGTATATGTTGTATATGAGTATTTGGTAGAAGTATGATGTTATTATCTATATATGTGAAATTATATGTATTTGTTATCAGTAGGATGTTATTATGTGTGTATGTGAATGTATGTATGTTTGTTGTATATGTGGTATATGAATGTGAAATTTATGTATTTGGTATAAGTAGGATGTATTATCTATATATTTGAAAGTATGTGTATTTGGTCTAAGTAGGATGTTATTATGTGTGTATGTGAATGTATTTGTATTTGTTGTATATGTGGTATATGTATGTGAAAGTATGTGAATTTCATGCTCTTATGTATTATGTGAAAGAAGGTAACGTACGATACATGTAATTATTTATTTAAAATATTGTCACACCCCCAAACCGGAACGACAGAAACGTTTGGGGGCGGAGGACGTCATGTTTAGTATCACAACACATATCAAAGTAACAAACAACCATTGCATTAATATGAAACTGTTTACAAAGTATATGATTCACAAAAGATTGACTCCAAAAGTAAATAACAAAACAAGACATGAAGCTACTAATACTCCATCTTCTGAATCCCAGTGCGCGTATCGGTCTACTAGTTTCCTGAGAATAGAAGTTATTTTGAAAGAGTATATCAGCATTTAAGCTGGTGAGTTCATAAGTATTTAGGTGATGAAAGTAAGTTGTAAGTTCCTTTTAGAAAAGTTCGCCTGTTCCTCCAGAAAATCCTATATTTTCTGATATGATGAATGAAAGTAAAAATGACTCTACAATTCCTTCTATGAGTACTAAATGGATACAAGTTATATACATCTTAGAGTAAACAGACAATCGGTTGTGTGAATCTGCCCTAAGCCCACAACCAAACAAGAAACAGGGAATGAGGCGGAAGTCACACATCCCATTGTTTGTTAGATCTTCACTATATATAACCCTGGTGTATTCATTTGGCACTTACGGAGTTAGCTGTAATAGTTATTTATATTTGATGAAAACATTCTTTAAGAAAATCATATATTTCCTTTAGTAAAAATGGTAACCACAATAGTTCCTTCTAGAATCACTTAGTTTATACAAGCTATATATAATCTAATATCGAACGGAAAGTTAAATGGGTAAATCTGCCCTAAGCCCACAACCAAACAAGGAACAGGAAGTAAGGCGGAAAGCACACATCCAACTGCCTATCGGATATTAACTATATATAACCCTGATGTATAAACTAAGGTATTATAGAATTAACCACTAAAGGTCCTTTAAGTTATACTAGTTTAATAAAATGAATTAAACCCTTTTACTGATAAGTTTCTAGTTTAGCCTACTAAATGTTCTATCTGAAAAGTATGTTTTTGTTCTAGAAAACGATATATTGAATTTGTATACTATGACCTGACCCATACCTGGTACTCCTTATGATTACTTGATGTATACGGAATATATATATATATATATATATATATATATATATATATATATATATATAGCTAAGACCGAATAAATAGTAGACTGGGTGAATCTGCTCTAAGCCCACAACCAAACAAGGACCAGGAAATGAAGCGGAAAGCACACATTCTACTGTCTACCGGACCCGATTAATATATATCCTTGATGTATCTACCGAGGAATCATAAAGTTAGCATTATAGGCCCCCTTCTAACTGAATGTACTAAGACTCGATTGTTTTGTTTGTCTTTTGTAATGATGTAAGTTTTCCCAAGTTTAAGACTATCTTTACTAGAAAATAGTTTGCATTACCTTTTATGTGAGAAGATCACTATATGAATGTAATGGGAAAAATGAAAGTATTCAGTAATATTGTATAAAGTAACTACTGAAGCACTAACTACCTTAAAATCAGTTTGTTAATTAAGGTTAAGATGTGATGTGGTTATAACCATAATGATCGACAAGTGTTTAACACGACGACCTGCTGGCGTCGAAACTGATGTGACAATTGTCACCCCTTGGCCTGCCGGCCAAACTGTAGCGAACAGTCGGGATGCGGGCTTGTAAGTCCCGTATAGATCTATACACACAATGTCCACTCTCCCTCCAGGAGACTCTGGTTACAAAACGCGACCTAACAAGTATTTTGCTAAGCCGTGAAGTAGTCTCCCATTAATGTTATCTTGTTCTTGTTATCGTATGTTCCTTCTGTTCTTGTTATTGTATGTTCCTCCCTGTTCTTGTTAATGTATGTTCTGAACCCCTAAAGTATACCTATTATAGTTTACTAGTATGTTTGTTTTGAACTGTCTCTGATTTATAGAAAAGACTCGATTACCTACTGAGTTATGATTGTACTTTAAAAACAGAGTTTTATAAATACTAAGTAATATAACTTAAAAGAGTTATTGATTTGATTTGATTACTTATAAAAGCATAAGAAATCCTTTAATGTGATGGTTATCACAGATAAACACTAGAGTTTATGGCCAATGATGCTTGAAGTGTTTATGGCCCAAGCTTGGCCTTAATAAGGGTTTACGGCCATGGATGAAGGGTTCACGGCCATAACATGATCCTATGAAGGGTTTACGGCCAAAGGAAGAGTTTACGGCCATAAACTCTTGAGGATTATGCACTAATTGCTTGTTTCATGCCCAGGAATCAAGTGTTTCTTATGGATAACAAGATGATGGAAGAGATACTCACACTTTGGAGGTCTTTAGGGTGTTTGCGGCTACAAGAACAAGCGTGTGTTCTTGATGAAAAGATGAAGACTTGAAGATCTTGATGGAAAGGTGATGAATTCAAGGATGTGATTCATAGGATTCATATGATCAAGAAGATTAACTAGTAAAAGGGATGAATTACTTACGTTTTTGAAGAGAAAGGATGGATTCCCTTGATGATACTTGAGAGAGTTTGAGTGTTCTTGGTTGAA